ATATTAGCCGAGATATCGTCCCATAAAAAGTCATGGTTTTGACGTCATCCCCCGCGGTATACACCCATGGTTCCTTCCTCCTTGCTTTCATCCGAGTTTCATGTTGAGTAACCAGTGCTAATGTGTGTCTCCCTCCTGACTGATAAAACCAAGGTGGAAGGAAACAAGGTTGTCACTGCCACGGTGGATGACGTCAATTTTTCAAAGGGCGATATCTCGGTTGGGGCAAGTTCAAGGGTAACCGCGGTTAATATTGAACGTAGAAAGTTGCGGTTTGGACAGATCTCATTATTTTTAGTTAATCTACAAGAATCAAGGACCAAAACACGATTCTGTGACCAGCGCAACTGACTCATTGACAATTTTGGCAAAAATGAGATGGCAACTTTGCCGCATTCTACAGTAATTCGAAAGCTGATGATTATGGTTTTTCCAATATTTCGCCTTCAATTTTCGAGGTAGGCCATATAGCATCCTTTGCACTACAATAGTCATCTACTGGAGGATTTCCGTCCTATACGCTGCTAATAACTCTTGCCTTGTGGTAAATTATGTCTAACTCCAGCCTAACGATTTTTATGCGAGCTTGTATTTCTATTCTGATCAGCCGGCTGATTATTGAAATTGATAGACAAAGTGGTAGGCAAAAAAGACAAATGGGAAACTAAGCGATCCTGCAGATGGTGGCAAGTGGGTGGTTGCAATAGACAAAGGGGATAAGTGATGAAAAATCTAACAGCAACCCAGGAGAGACCCCTTAGTTAGTCCATCATTTTCTCCCTTAGCCTATAACAACCATATGTTTAAACCGATAGGACCATTCCTTGTTCCCTATGTCTTCTTAGTCCATCGCTTTTTCTATCAATTCCAATAATCAGCTTTCTGTATGATTTCTGCCGTAAACTGAGCGTGAGAACATCCTTGGTTTTAAAATGAATAATTATTATTAGAGGAGATATGATCTAAAAGCCTCATCTGCTACAACACATCCGTTTGAATGAAAAAACGCCGCCTGATGACGTCACAAGGCGACAGACTTTCTCACTTTTAAATCTGTTTTTCTACAATTTCCAATATGAGGACAAAAATATGAAAAATGCCGCAAATGCAGCTCAGTCAGCACTCTCAATTGGACGTATTTCTGCCAAACGGAGCCATGCGCCAATTTGAGTTCCTTTTGAGGAATTTAGAATCCCGGATAGCGCGTTCCGTCAAACGGAACTAAGCGCCATGGAGAAGCATTGCGAGTATAGGAACGAATTAGCCCGACGCCCGGTTCCGCCGCCAATCCGAGCCCCCCTGATGGCGCTTGGTTTCATTTGAAAGAAATACTTCCAATTGTAGTAGAAAAGGTTTCCTCGCAAATTCTCCGATGGAGTTTTTTATCTCTCGAGTAACGTGGCAAGATAGACGAGTCGTGATGAACGAATGTGAACAAAGGCAAAAAGGAACTGCATACGTGAAAGAGCCGTTCATGGAGAGCGGATGGCACCGGCTCGCGGTTCGGAGCTCGAACGCAGGCGCGCGTCTCCCCTCTCGTTATCGATCTGCCTCGGCGTCGCGACGCTGCTGGAGCGCCGCCGGGCGGCGCGCCCGGCGTTTGACAACAGAGCATCTTACGATGTTTCAATGGGACATATCTCCATTTACCGGCGGCGTGTGAGTGCGAGTAGCGGCGTGTACACAATTATGCCCTCATTATTCCTCCCCCTCCCCGCTCCCCCACCCCCTCCCCGCGTCGCCTCAGTTTTACGATTTTTGAACTTGAAAGTTTCGTCTTAGTGGACTCCTGGGAGGAAATCGTCCGGGGCAATCAACACGATAGAAAGGAGGTTAAATGAGGGGAGAAAGTGGCGATAACTGAGGGGATCTGCTTTTACGGCTCTTAAAAATTTCAGAGGAAGTTTTTAGGACGAGATGAATTGCGTTTGGACGTATTTAAATAAAAAATAACTGCGTACATTGAGACATGGGCCCTGAGACACGTTAGAATAAGTGCACGACAGGGCTCATTTTCCAATGCACATACTTCCATTTAATTATTTTTTCAAGTTCCATTTGATTTAAAGTTGTTCATTTGCAATGAGGAACTACTAATTTTGGCTCATTTTAGAGACAACGTATTTAGCCTTTAATTTTCCTGTGCAGGTACGTGTTTGAATTGACGAGCCAGACATAGTTTTTTCTTATTTCAAAAAGAGATTCAAATTATCAGAGTTTAGCGAGAGCGAAATGAGAGATATTGACTGGGAACGGAGATAACTGATTCTGAACTTCCATCTCGCAATAAAACTAAATATAAAAAGAAAACTAGTCAACAATCTTTAAGACAGATTTTGAATACTAAATATTCATCATTTTTCCTTGGGCAGGAAAAAATTGCTTTATAACGAGCTTAAAATCATGTGTAACTTGCTTGATTTGAAAATATCACCAACAGTGCTCGATATATGATTTTTTTACCTAGTGCTAGATCGATTTAGGCGCCCCATAGAGGGTCACAATAAATCGTCACCTTCCAGGCAAAGTATCACAAGCACCATGCGACGTTTAAAAATTTCCACCGCCATTTTATTTCTTTACTGAGAAATTGTTGGTTGAATCTGTTTGGAAATTTCACTAAATTTTATCGGCAGCACAAAGAAAATTCAGTGAAATTTTCGGACAGCTTCGTTGAACAATTTCTCTGTAAAAAAATATAATGGCGGCGGAAATTTTTAAACGTCGCATGGCGCTTGTGATACTTTGCCTGGAAGGTGACGAAATCTAAAAAGGGCTATGCGGGGGATGACCCACGAATAATTTTGAAAAAAATTTAGTATCTCATGTGACATCCTGAGGAGACCCGTTGCACACATTCCGCCCTTTTTCTTACGTTCCGTGCAGCTATTCGTGCTTTCGCGCTACTCATATTTTGCCATGCTGAGGAGAAACGCCTTGTGAACATTCGAGAGTTGCCAAATTTCCTTCGATAAAATGCTTATTTATGAGGAAAGCTATTAATGTTTTCCCTCGAAATTTTCAGGAACTTTAGGTGAAATTGCGAACGAAATTATCTAAAAAATTGGAGGAAAAATATTTACAAATTTTCCCTGAAATTCGTGATTTACCAAAGGAAATTTTGCAACGCCTGGAGGTTCATACGGCGTTTTTCATTGGCACGGCAGTATTGCCATCGCAATTTGTGAAGACGAACTCTGGAAGAGGATGAGAGACACGCAGTGAAGCGAGTAATCAACGTGTGTTCCTCGGCCTCCTACAACGGTTATCCGTGTTTTTTACTTACTTATCATTATTTTTTAGAATAAATTAAATAATAATTGACAGCATGGAATGTTTGCTGATGAGCCTACCAGGCTGGACGTTGAGATATTCTGTATATTTAAAATGTAGTGTGATGCCCAAAATCTCAGTGATCCAGATGGTTGGATTGAGCCTAACTTCTATGGATCGTATTCAATAGTGGTTCGATGTATAGTTTGGCTCAAAACAAAGAAACATAAACTCAAACCAAACTGTTAGGGTATTTGTCAGAAAAGCTGAAAATGAGAAATGTTGTAGCAATTTCACTACTATGGCCAATTAGTACTCATACGAATCAAAAATCCATCACAAAAAACCCGTTCCGTCAAATTCCTCAACTGACTTTTGAGGCCATGTTTACGTTTTGAACCATTCGATATCGACACAATCTCACCCGTTTGATGCATCGAATACAATCTATTACGAAGTCGTTTTGAAGAGGGTAACGCGGTCATTTTTACGGTGTCTCGTTAGGAGCTTTGCACGATGTTCGTCTCGCGTGACGAGAGAGCTCTGTCGTGTGGCAGGAAAAAGGAAGTAGCCTCCGTGCATCACACCACATGTTGATGATGAAAGTCGGAAAGCACGTATCTCGATCGCAGTGCTGTGAAATCCACGCTGCGGGCAAATTATCGACATTGATAGACAAGGCGATAGACAAAGAGGACATAGGGAAATGGAGCGAGTCAGTTGGTTGAAATGGGTGGTTTTTATGGTTGAGGGGAGAAAGTGATGAACTAACTAATGAAATAAAGAGTCTCTTGGGTTGCTCTTACTTACATTTTTTATTAATTGCGAGCACTCGATTCCAACAATAGGATTGCGCCATTTACTCTTTATCCTTTTTGTCTATAGCTTTGTCCATCATTTTTAACGATCAGCCCGCAGTTGCTTTAAATCTTTGAAAAAAATTGTTTGAAGAATATTCAATCTGGTCCCAAAATAACGATCTGTTTCTCGAAATAACGTTTTTCCCAAAGCGACGTTCGTTTTATTAAGTCCCGGCTGGTTATTTCTTGTCATAGCAGTTCTCAAAATAGCCCCTTGCAAGACAAACGTTCTACTTTTGATTCTATTTCGAAAACAAATGACTCTTCAAAATCAGTATTGATTTGGACAAAAGTATATTTTGAGCGCCTTAACTTTTCTCACATTTCAAAAGTGAGAGACACCTCAATGCGCGTTGATGACGGCGCGGCGCAGTGATACAACTATTCGTGCTTGATGGATGTCTGCGTTGCGTCTGCAAAATTGAAGGCGCGATGGCGCGGCGCGCGGCGTGAACTGAGAACTCTCAATGATCCGCACTATGCTGCTCAAGTGCCTATGAGGTGTCGCTCAGCAGGGCGCAAAGATAAAAAATGAGGCTCGATTTATGTCTATCATAAGACAATGGGAGAGAGAAATACAGAATGTCACACATCAAGATTTACGTGTCGCTCGAATTTCATCAGTTTATCTCTAATATTTCCGTGATTGTGCGATCATCCCTGGTTTTTAATCATTTCAAACATCAGACATGGTTTGCTCGGTATTTTCGATCAAAATATCTCCACATTCTTTTGATTATTCTTATTTTCTTTATCGTTTCAAATTTTCTCGTGTTTAAGGACATGCAGTTTGATAAGAAGTTGAGAATGTCATCCACGTTTTGAGGATAATTTTTTCAATGTATCAAAGCTAGAAACAACGGATCATACTTTTTCCATTCATCGCACCGTATATTTTAATCTTGGTTATAATTAGATGACAAATAGCAAAACATATACTGTATAACAAAAGCTTTAAATTTACTATATTTTGTCAGATATAGTGGTTCCTTGTAGCAAAATGTGGTCCAATTCTGTAAAATTATGTGTAGCTCTTTAAAAAACCACCGAAAGCTCTAATAAATGTTGGAGCCTGTTAAAAGTGGAATAGATTTTGCAATAGGTAACTACCCAGGTTACTATAGGTACTATAGGTTTTTGCTATAGGATACTATCTCCAGCTCATTTTCGAAATAGCATCAGTGTCATTCGTTTTCTCATAGATGAGAGTTTTTATAAATTAGCCTGAAATATGTCTTCCCTATCGAAGAAAGTAGTCTAGTTAACACTTAAAATTAGTTACACGTACACTTAAACTTTGAGCCCTCATCACATGTGCAAGATGCACACATGCATCCCAAGATTGTATCATATGAAACCCCTAAAAATCTTTAATTTATTTGCATATGTATAATAAAGTTTAAAAAAGGATAGTATAAAGTGCATAAATTCAACAGTGATAAGATAAGAAAATTACATACACATCTTACGCACTGATGATATTGCATCGGCTCCATGAGGGTTTTCCAAAGAAGATTTCGCGGGAATTACCTATGCCACGATCTGTCGTGGATCATACAAGTTTTCATACTATAAATGAAAATAAGGCCAGTATTTCACTAAAATGCGTTCGATATAAGTACTTTAAGATATGTTCACGTTCACTGAATGTAATTTGCAGTTCTACATCTATATTTAGCATTTTCGAATTCGAAATTCCATGTTATAAAATACAAAAATATTCGCAAAAGGAACTACTATTTCTGGCTCATCCGTAAAGGCACCTATCTGTTTAACAAAAGTAATGGCATACATTGTTTCTAAAATGAGCCAGACCTGTTAGTTCCATTTTGAGAAATTTAGTCAGTATGATCTACACATGATATATCCTCTATAGGAAACTTAACGAAATAAAAAAGTCTTGATAATTAAGTTATCGAAGTTGGATTTCTGGTGTGTATATGAAGTTCCGGAATGACTCATCGACGAACAAATATGAATCGCTATTTAAGTTTTTTTCCTAAATAAAAGTAACATATTTTACAATCATGCCTCAGATTTTGTCGATCCCGACAAAGGCCGTACGATCAGTTTTTGGATAGCAGCACCATTCCCTAAAATAAAACTAATAAGTAATTCGCCATAAAAAATAAATCTTAGCTGTATAAAAATCTTAACTATACTGGACATATAATATGAAATGAGGAAGCTAATTACTGCACAAATCTTCGCGTAAATAAAAAGTTTTTAAAAAAATTGTATTTTTAAAAACTTTTTTTTTTTTTTATTTATACTGGTCATGGTGCGAACTCGAGCATTCTGATACATGCCTCCTGAACAACACTCCATGTAAAATACAATTCGTGCAACGGAAATTACTGAAATCAATTCCTAAATTAACGTTTTTAGTTTACATTACTTAGGAGAACTTTGCATCCCCCAGTCACATGAACAAAAACATAGTTTACTTAAATCAAATCGCCCGCTACAACAATTTTGGCAGGCTTCGTACAGTGTTCCGTCTTTTGTTGTTCAAAGTGTTTAACAAAGTGCCTCAGCTGAGCCGAAACACCGAGATTGAGATGTCTATAATTCTCATACTGTAGCGACTGTTTAAGTAACGCTTATTGCACGATTTGACTCACGCAGCCTATTGTTTTTTATGAGCGGGAGATTTGAATTTACGCATCGAAAATCGTTAAATATATCTTAGTCGGGAGTTAACTTGAGTGTATTTTGTCGCGCAAATCGTATTTAAACGTAAAATTTTGGTCAGGACAGTGTCTCAGAATGCTAAAAATTGCACCTTGTCTGGTGGTCCATTGTCTCTGAAAAATGGTTGGGATTAGCACGAAAATCCGCACGAACTAAGCACTAAGTGGCACCGCATTTAGCACCTTTAAGCATAAGGTATTAAAATTGCCCACCAATTGGAAGTGAAGGGTTTCTCAATCCAATGAGAGTTTCGGTTTTGGAATTTGCGATGGAAAATTCGAGGTCATCCGACGCGTCATCCGTCAGCGTTTCTGTCTTTTTGTTTTCTAGTATAAGGGTGAGCTTCAATGGGCGCGGTCCCGGTCCCCCGGCATTCGCAGGCAAAAGCGGACGGTTCCCTGAGTTGCCATCTAGCCGCTCTGAATCTGTATTCACTCTTGCCACAATAGGACCTTTGTTATCTTCAGCATGGCGATAGTAAGAACCTGGAGCTTTATCATTGTCCAAAGGGGGTGTGGGACCTTTGTTGTCCTCAGCATGGCGATAATAAGAACCTGGAGCTTTATCATTGTCCAAAGGGGGTGTAGGACCTTTGTTATCCTCAGCATGGCGATAATAAGAACCTGAAGCTTTATCATTGTCCAAAGGCGGTGTAGGACCTTTGTCATCCTCAGCATGGCGATAATAAGAACCTGAAGCTTCATCATTGTCCAAAGGCGGTGTAGGACCTTTTTTGTCCTCAGCATTACGGTAATGAGAGCCTGGAGCTTTATCAACTCCAAAGAGGGATGAGGGACTTTTTTCCATGATCTTTCGAGCCTTCTTCAAAGTTTCGTGGCGCCTCCAAGGGGGATGTGGACCAGCCGCGCCGCTGACCTGAAGGTTCAGAGCTGCTCTAAGCTGCTGCATGTGTTGCCGGCTGACGGGAAGTCGCACTTTCATTTCAGATGCCTCGTCTCCAACCAGATCTTGTCCTCCGTGGCTCTCTGCGTCTTGCCCAAGTCCGAAGGTGTCTCCATGTTCATGTAGACCCTACAAAAGAACCACGAATCAGTGACATGAAAGCATAGAGTACATAGAGTCGTAATGTAAATGGGAGAGCTGGCGCCATGTTCTGCTCGACGAATTCCGAGCCCGGTGTGCGCCGAGTTCGGGTCGCTTTTTCGATACATTTTCGATCCAAAATGGCGGTGTGGAATACGTGGTAATTCCTATCTCCTTTGATGTTGTTGTTGTTGTCATCGGATGGCCGGGTACCCGTGTATCGCAAACAATCGATTATGTATCGAAAAAGTGACCCGGCGTCACACAGGAGTCTCGGAATTCGGGACATGGAAAATGCTTAAAAGTGGCGCCAGCTCTCCCACTTACATTACGACTCTATGTACTCTATGCATGAAAGGACTACGCATCCGAGAAATACGGTGCCGCGCCGGGTACATTTCGGGATAATAGGCCAGTTGCGCTAGTTGCAGAATGGTGTATTGATGTTTGATTCTTGTAGATTGGCTAAAACTCATAAGATCCTTTTAAACCGCAACTTTCTATGCTCAATATTAACCGAGATATCGCCCTTTGAAAATTCGGGTTTTTGACGTATTCAACCGCGGTAGTGACACCCTAGGTTTCTTCAACCTTGCTTTCGGCAGTCGACGTGACGCACATTTACACTGGTTGCTCACTATGAAAGTCGGATGAAAGCAAGGTCGAAGAAACCCAGGGTGTCACTACTGCGGTGGTCAAAAACCCAACTTTTCAAAGGGAGATATCTCGGTTAATCACTATATTGTTGCATATCGCACAGTTTTTAAATCTCGGTTAATACTGAGCGTAGAAAGTTGCGGTTTAGACGGATCTTTCAAATTTTAGCTAATCTACAAGAATCAAGCATCAACATACTATTCTGTGACCAGCGCAACTGGCCCACTAATATATATGATGTTCCTTAAGATTTTTTTGGAAAGGCGAGCTTTGAAAATCGATATTTCTACGTGTTAATGCAGAAGAGAAAACAAAAGCAGCAATTCGAATTGCGGGTCGAATGGCATCCCCTACTTTTACTAGTCGACCCTGATTAGCTGATCCGCGTAATGCCCACTTTCCAGGGCCCCTATGGAAAATAACACGAAGTTTATTTTTCATCGGCAATATCTCGAAAACAAGGGAAAATTCATACGTTGGAGACTTCAGAAATCAATTATCTAGATTTTTCTGAAGAAATTGATTGGGTTATTACCCAATCAATGACACTTTTTTTCGAACAGTTCGACCTGGAATTTTTTTTTTTTTTTTTTTTTTTATGACACCAAGTGTCATATTTCAAGTTGACAAGAAGTTTCAAGTGATGAAGCGGGTAAAACTGCTGGAAAACGCACCTTAAAGACCAGACTCTCAAGATTGGCAAGAAGAAAGTTTGATTTTAAGACATTATCTTATCAGGAGACTGTGAGGATCATCATATCAGACGGTCTCGAAATTCAGCTGGTGCTGAATTTCTTGGTCTAACGGAATCAAGTGTCCTTAAGTATTTCAATTTTTAGTTCGAATGTTTCATCTCACTTTTGAAGAAAGCTACGCATTTAGTAATTCGTACTGAGATCAATTGTCTGTTTCAGACTGAAATTTTCCAAAAATTATCTTCAAAAAATAAGCTGATTGTCCTATGGAAATTTTTTGTGCTCTCATGGTACTTGCGCCTTTCGTGATTGATTTCAAGAACACAAAATTCAACTGAACAAACTTTCGGTCTCCTCGTACGGAGAAGACATCAATTTTTTTTAATAATTTTAGATTTATTCAAAACTTCATTTTTTGAACATTTTACATTTGATTCTCACAGCTTTCTAAGCACTTTCCTCTTAAAATGAAGATTTCTTCCAGGTAACGCGGAAAGGTTTTGAAAGAAGGTATACCTATTTCTACTTACAATTATCAGAAGGAGACTGAGAAAGCGAGGAGTAAACATGATTGCGCTCTGCTCAACAACAATAAAAAGAAACACGAAAATGAGGCAGGGATTCGCGGTTTTAAGTCATGCTCATTTGCATACTCAGGTGTTGCCGTTTGATTCATGGGGCATGTTTCCAGGTAAAAAACTAATTCGTCAATTTATCTTAATCTTTCGTTGTTACGCGATGGTGCCAACTGTTACCTATTGGAACCACTCGAGAGGTCTTCAACAGATCCCTTAAGCCAAACCTCTTTTTTATTAGCGCTCAGGGACCCGGAGTGCTGGCCGGTACAAAGGGCCCGCATGCGGATTGCATACACTCTAAATTGAAGGCAGTTCACGGTTCCCAAAGAACGATGGGTCCATGCATGGCTACTCTTTCCCCTTCCCCCGGCCCAGCCTTCGCCATCATTTTAATTAAGGGTAGTTACAATATTGAAATAACACTCAAAGTAAGGATGCCACACATAATGTGTCATTTTATGACACGAAACTTAACTACATATCTTAAAAATAAGTAGGAGTCTCTTGAATTCTTCAGGAAAATTCGCAACCCGATCTGTGATTTTTTATTCTCAGGGTAGCCGGTCTCAGCAGGCGGAACTGAGAACTTTTCATGGGGGGGGGGGGTTNTTATCTTACTGAATATACGGGGGTCCAAAATACTGAAAAATCAACTGTAATAAACCTGTCAAATAAACTGTACATTCAAATTGTGCTCCTAAGCTAGCGTAAATATTAGCAGGGAATTATCTCCTTTTTTCTAAGCTAAGGAACACTCAATAAAGTCCATTTCTGAAACCCCACTCCTGCAGTTTTGTGGATTTTGGATTATGTAAATTTTTGCAGGAGAAAACGAAGTGCATGACAAAAGTCGGGACTTGAATTTGTACGAAATTTACATGAATGATGTGCTACTTTTTCATTTTTATGGAAAGTTGAGAGCTCATTCGTTAACGTACGACTCGTTTGCAGCTTGGCAGTGATGAATTACATTTTTTCACAAAATGAGCAAACCCCCGGTCTAACTCTATGACCACTATAAAGCACGGCGAATCTCGGATTTTCCTCGTAGGAAAGGCAACCGACTTTGCTGCATGTACGCTCGATGTTCAAAGTTGGTTTTTCTCCCCCTTTTTTTTCCAACTTCGTTTACCTATTGCTCGCTCTGCGCCGCCTGCTTGGTGCTTTGCAAGGATCATCCGTCATGTTGGAATAATTAATTAACGCGGAGCACAACAATAGGATGCTTGATTAAACGCTTGATTTGACTTTCGTTTTGGGCGGGCTGGATTCAGGAAAGATTTCTCCGAAGAGCAAAATGCGAGCTTGCTCACATTGGATTGCGCTTCACATTGGATCCATGCTATACATCATCCAGTTGATTCCGAGGCATGCATCCAGTGGCGTGGCGTGAATTGCGATATATCGCTTGTTATGCCATTTAAACCTATGGTAAAGAATCGATTATTAAGGTGTTCGCTGCGAACACCCTATCTATCGATTCTTTTCCGTAGGTTTAAATGGCATAACAATCGATGTATCGTAATTCACGCCACGCCACTGCATGCATCGCATGTTGAGATATTTAGATTTCAGAGCTTGTTTCGCCAACAGAATTTAAGTAATGAATATAAGTATCGCTTCCGCCGAGCGTAGACTTTCACCATCTATAGTAACAAATTTTTGCAATTTAAGTCTTTTTTTCTTCTTCTTTTTTCTTTTTTTTTTTTTTTTAAATTTCTGTATGGGCTTCACAGCAATCTGAATGCACTCACAGTATAGGTCCTACACAAACCCAACGGAAAATAAAATTGAATAAAAATGGCGGGATCTACTCCAGTGTTGCTAAATTATATTAAATGATGTGTTTTATTTTGGCAACCTTGCGGTCTGCGGAGGTCAGCTCTGGCAACGCACTTTCAACGCTCGTTTAAGGTTGATTAGAAGGTAATAGTAGTAAAATAATTTTATTTTAAAGCGGTGCTTTAGCATCTAAGGCCATTTACACGGGTCCTAGGATAATGAAAGGAATATGTGCATTTGCAACTTAGGGACATCTTAGAGTATTTAGGTGCCAACATGAATTATGAGATGTGAAATATGAGATGTCAATTTTTTAATAAATTGACTCCAGGTGCGTTTATGCAATTTCATGAAATTTGCTATGGTGACTAAGATATCAAATTGCATGAATACAACACCATGCAACCACTTGTGACCAACAAAAATAATAATTTTTCTCAATTTTTCTTTTTTAAAACGAGCTCTCATATTTTTTCTCCAATGCCAACTTATGGAATAAGTTAGTCTACATTTGTATGAACACCTTCATGTTAAGTTCATCAGAGATAAATGGCCTCTGATGTTAAGGCACCCCTGATAACTAAAATTACTATACTACTAATACTACTCTCGTTACTCGTATTAGCACAAATTATTTCAGTTCTTCTCTCCTCATAATTTTAATGAAGTTTGAACGGGCAGTTTTCATCGTGAACGAGAATGCCCCCGGAGATCGTTGAGCCGCGATGAAAGTGAAAACTGGACCTCCGGTCAGCTTCTTATTCAAACGCTTGGTTACGTCAACGAAGTTCACATGTCCTGTCGAATTACTCGATGAAATAAGCGTGAATACAATGCGTGCATCTTATTCTTGTCATCCATACCCCTTCTCTACGAATCCGTTGTTCTTCCTGGAACCGCAGTCTATGCCCGAAGATTCAACTTTTCCAACGTAATAGGATCGTCAGTTGCGAGTCGTCAAGTTCTAAGTCTCTTCAAAGTTCTTTTATTCTGACTGTGAATGTGATCATTTTGAAGTAAAGTTGGTGCAACTATGGCAAAGTGAAACTATTGAGAGAGAACCTGGTTTAACGGTATGGAGGGAATTTTGTGAATTTTAAGGAAGTTTTATCTTGTGCGAAAGTATCTTATTTTGCCGCGATCATTCAGCTTTTTTTAGATGGACCATAGTGGTGACGTCATCATAGGAATTCTCCATTATATCGAATTGGGTCCATATAGTAATAGTTATATAATCTCGTTCAATGCTACCAATGAGAGTAAATCGATACTTATCGCTTTTCTGTGACGTGGAATTAATACCACCCGTGTCACTTTTCACCTCACTCGATCAGTTTTATTTGATGTCAACAGTAATTAAAGAGGGAAAAGAAGTGTTGATAAAAGTCAAAAATTTCTCTAAAAAACGAAGTGTTTTACAAAATGAGAGCTCTGTAGATAATTGATCAACAGAGCCCTTCCATGGGCGGAACTGGTATGATGCGAAGGGGGGGGGGTGCTACCCGCAGAAATCTACTCGACCTTTCCCAAGAAATGTGAGGAGTTTTTCTTAAAAAGAATGTGACCTTGCTAGTGTCTTCGATTCGTTCTTTCTATTAGTAAGAACACCTCGAAATTGCTCATGAGACGATTTAATTTTTCAAAATTTTCCCCGGATCCCCTATGAAACACCGGTGTTTTTTCTAGAGCCCTCTTGATGGGATACCTTATTGCCCCCCCCCCCCTCACAAAAAGCTCCCAGTTCAGCCCATGAGCCTTTCATAAGAGATCACGCGAAGTACTTGCATGGGTACATGTAGTTACTCTTCGTGATCAAGCGCCTCTTTAAAGCGACCACAAAGAATCCAACCGATCACTTGAACCAAGTTTGACAGACAGAAACCAAGTCACATATCTAGATAGATCTGACGAAATAAGATTTGAAGTTTTATTCCTCTACTAGGCGTAATGTTAGGAGTACAGTTCAACGCATATTTATACATAAAAAAAATATGTACCTATTCCGATTTTCAACTTTTCATAGCGAGGAAATGTGCAGCTAGTTAAGCTCAAAACGACTCTTACCTCAACCCCCCCCCCCCCCCCCGCTCCAAATTTGTCTTTGGGCTCTTCTTTTGCTGATTGGCAGTTTTCCCAGTTAGTATCTTTTTCCGACTTAATTTTTCAATTTGCGGAAAAAAATCAACGAACGAAATGAACGAATAAATTACTATTTATTTTTGGACCAAAATCAATCTCCTCGCTATCGTACACATAAATTAAAAATGCTGAGACTGAACAGTAATAATCAGTAACCATGAAACCTCGCAAGTTTAGGTATCGTTTTGTAATCTAGGGCTGATTCACTTGATCGATTCATTTGAATTTCAAGGGAGTTTACTCGGTGATTTTTCTTGTTCATCTATTAATTAATTTCATCATATTTAATGTGCAGGATGTTTAGAATAATGGAAACAGGAGACGGCATTTTTAATCCTACAAAGTCACCTAGTAAAAAAATAAAAAAACCAACAAAAGAACAAACAAACAAACAAACAAACAAACAAACAAACAAATAAACAAACAAATAACACAGCGTGATAAAATTGTAAGATGGCCCCTGTCATTTCTCCTATAATTTAAATAAATTAAAACACAAAATGTCCAAAATCTATGCTCAGATTCGGATTCCTCGTGAAAAATTGATGAGATTTCATGAATCAAAGGTTAGCATACATGAAAGATGGAGGGTAAACGTAAGCGTAAAGACTTTTCTTTGAGCCATGCCGCCAGCGAGTGCGGGTTCTGAGAATCTGCCCTTAGCGCCAGCGGCGCTTAGCTTTCGGTTTCGTTCCGAAGAATTTCTGAGAAGAGAATCTTCTTCTTACTCTTCCGCCTCAGTTGCCGTCAGCCGTCGCCCATGTTGCCACGTTGGACTGATATGTTAGAATATGTATGCACACATTACTGTCTTTTAAGCTATGCTAGCGCATGATACATGAAATCGCATCAATTTTCAACGAGGAATCCGAAGATGATGAGTATAGATTGTTAATGTCACCCGTTTTAAGTCAAATTTTCAAAATTCCAAAATCCAAATGGTAAATGTCGTCTAAAATACTATCTTGGCTCCACTTGGTTCGATTTTTGTGAAAGAGCTTGATGCAAAAACGGCTTTTTTCGCCCCCCTCTGGAATTTCTTCAGACTTTGTCTATTGATTACTCATATTTGAGCGCTTCTTTCCCCAAATTTTCAGACCCCCAAAAAATTTTGGGGGGGAGCTAGGAGGGGTGGAAGTCAAAACCTGTGAACCTCGATATCTCTCGAACGAAGAAAGATATCGAGGTCCGATTTGGACGAAAAATCATCTGAAATTGCATACTTTAAGGTTCCAAAGGTCAAAATCCCGATATTACACTTTTAAGTCAACATTTGTGCTTTTTTCCAGTTTTTAGGTCTAGAAAATTTCTTTTAAACAAAAAATTTTCAAAGATCTCAATTTTTTATTTGAACCAAAACCAGTTTTTTAAATTGTTCGTCTTTTTTCGCATCCAACGAGTGGTCCAATAAGCTGGGGAACCAAACGGTTCCGGAGTTATGATCGATTGAAGATTCCGCTCAACGCGCGCCGACCGATTTTCGCGCGCAAAAAAGTCGGATTTGACTGGTATTAGATTAGATTGAATGTTCAAACTGAGCAAAATGCATTATTAGGGACTCTTGAGGGTCGCTGAGTTCAGAAATTACAGATACTTTAAATAATTCACGGTTTTAAAATTACAGCTCCGCAGCGCTGTTTTAGAGGCCCACTGAGCGCCGACCGGTCGCTCAGTGGTCCTGTCCGAAGCTGCAATTTTAAAAACGTGAATTTTTTGGAAGTATCGGTAATTTCTGAACTCATCGACCCTCAAGAGTCCCTAACAAAGCATTTTGCTCAGTTTGAACATTCAATCTGATCTAATAACAGTCAAATCCGACTTTTTTGCGCGCGAAAATCGGTCGGCGCGCGTTGAGCGGAAACTTCAATCGATCATAACTCCGGAACCGTTTGGTTCCCCAGCTTAATGGACCACTCGTTGGATGCGGAAAAAGACGAACAATTTAAAAAACTGGTTTTGGTTCAAATAAAAAATTGAGATCTTTGAAAATTTTTTGTTTAAAAGAAATTTTCTAGACCTAAAAACTGGAAAAAAGCACATATGTTGACTCAGAAATGTGATATCGGGATTTCGACCTTGAGAACCTTAAAGAATGCAATTTTAGACGATTTTTCGTCCAAACCGGACCTCGATATCTTTCTTCGTTCGAGAGATATCGAGATTCACAGGTTTTGACTTCCACCCCTCCTAGCTCCCCCCCAAAATTTTTTGGGGGTCTGAAAATTTGGGGAAAGAAGCGCTCAAGTATGAGTAATCAATAGACAAAGTCCGAAGAAATTCCAGAGGGGAGCGAAAAAAGCCGTTTTTGCATCAAGCTCTTTGGTAGCAGGGAGTAATTTTCGACGGGAAACTTGAATTTTTAGTCAAACTTGCAAAATAACAAAATCCAAGATGGCGGACGTGGCCTAAAACGCAAATTTTCAAAATTCCAAAATCCAAGATGGCAAACGTGGTCTAAAATTTATCCTAATGGAGCTGCTAATGTCAAAGTGCTCTTTTCAACGGAGAACTTAATTTCTTTTTCGATTAGCTTGCCGCAACGTGTCAGAGTTAGGCAGATTGGTGGCATGTATTGAGAGGAGAGGGGCTGGGGGTATCTGCGGGTTTTCGTTTGTTAGTTGATTGCTTATCTCCTTTGTTCATTGCAACCTTCCGTTTCCACCAATATGAATGCTCCATTTCCCCTTTTTTTCTTTTGTCCTTTGTCTACAGCTTTGCCTGTCAAGTTCAACAACCAGCCCGCTGCATTACAGAAGTCTATCTTGGGCTCATCCAACCTATATCCCACGGACCTCACATAGGTCAACCCGGGTCTCGAACCAGCGACCCAGGGGCGGGGAATTAGGTCAAGGGTGGACAGAGGTGCCATCGGAATTGTGGTCAAAATCAAAATGTCACCAACCACGGGCGGGGTGCGAAGCTGGAAGTTTGAGTTGAAATTGGCGGACGACAAGTCGACTCGTAGTCCGAACACGGGGCTTTCCGGCCGCTTCATTTGTCTCCTCCTGATCGCTTGCGGCGAGTGCATCCTGACACCTGTCCCATTAATCTACCCGGGCAACGACACGGATCCCGAGGGAGGCGGGGGCGGGGGATGGCGCCCCTCCCCCGGATTCATTACCCCCCGCCCGGGCTCCGTGCTCGGCCAAACGAGATTGGGATACAACGTCACTGTCCCCGTCAAAAGACACGTCTACGACTACGGATACGACTCCCCATACGACTTCAAGTACCCGCCTGATAGTAAGTTACTCTGATTTTTACAATTCTTCAACTAGCCTCAAGGTTCACGTGCAGTTCTGCCGTGCTCGAGAGGAACGCCGTATGAGCCATTAGGCGTTGCCAGATCTCCTTCAACAAATCACGAATTTTCAGGAAAAATGGACCACTAGACAAGGTACGAATTTAAGCATTCTATTAAATGTTTCTTGACTAGAATTTCACGTAGAACACGATTCGCGCAACGAAAATTACCGAAATCAACTCTTGACAAAGATATTAACGTTTTTATTTCACATTGGTTACGAGGAATTTGAACTGCCCGCTCACAAGAAACTCAAAGCTCTACGTGAGTCAAATCGTGCACGACAACGGTTTCAGCGAGCTTCTCAATCAAGCGATATTCATTCCCCACCATGTGCTGTTCAAACCATAAACAACTTGCTATAGCTGAGCCAAAGCGCCAAGATTAAGGTTGCCAGATTTTAATATCGCAAAGACTGTCATGATAACGTTTAGCGCGCGATGTGAGGCACGTAGAGCATTGAGTTTTCATGAGCGGGTGTTTTGAATTCACGCATCAAGAATCATTGAATATCTTCATAAGGAGTTGATTTTGGTAATTTTCGTTGTGCGCATCGTGTTCTACGTGAAATTATGGTTATGAAACGTGTATCAGAATGCTGAAATTCGTGCCTTGTCTACTGGTCCATTGTGAATTCTGTCAATATTTCAGTTTCAGAGAATGTGGTCCGTAATTTGATCCTAAAAGTCTGAAAATTTCAAAAAAAAAAAATGTTCTTTACATTCTCCAAAAAAAATATTTTCTGAGAGGCAATTTGACAACATTTGAATGCTCATACGGGGTTTTTACTTAGCGCGGCAGAGTTGGACTGCATTTTGCAATTAGGGAGTATAAATTTCGGCCTGTTTTAAAAACAATGTATGTGCTATTAGTTTCCCTATGCACATAAGTGTTTTTTCAGATGAGCCGGAATTTATAGTTCCGAATTGCAAAATGAAGGGTTCGACCGGAGCGATCATCGTCCGATGGGCCCCGACCACAAAAGAGCCTCCACCACAAGATAATTATTTTTATTATTATTATTATTATTATTAAGAGTAGGAGCTACTAAATAGGCTTGCTCCCATCTTACTCTATAAAATAGATCTTAAGAGTGCCGCGTGCCGCATAACGCTGGGCCATTCCACTACCCCTTCTACCCCACGGTCCACGGTCCACCCTCTTCTGGTATCTACAGGCAGTCGTATTATAGAATCCTACTATATTTTAAACATCTGAGAAACGGAACACTCTTTGAACTCGAAAAAACGCGAGGTACAATGGAAGAATACTCAAAGTTGGGTTCAGACCCAACATGCAACTATTTTAACTTCGCTGTAGACCCGGTTGCATACGTTGGATTTTGCGGGCGAAATCTGAGATCTGCCCACGGCCTAAGTACGCTCGCGATAGGGTATAGGTGCGATCAGTGTTTTCCTCGAGCTGAGTCTCGTGCTGGGAAGGACCGGACATCTCAGGATAGGGATATAGTTCGGGGGGGGGGGGCGGCATCCTAGGTTTTCCCCAGGGCCTCCACCACTAAATCCGGCGCAATTCATATGTTAAGTAGCTCACTTTGCGCGTAGGTACGTTTTAAGACTCGTTTTTAGCGGCTCTGGTGCTTGCACTAGAGCTGCTATTCCGGACGGTCCCAGCTGGGGAGTATCAATGCAGCATGTTACATTGTAGAGACCGCGCGTTGGTTGATGGGAATCGGCGCCATTTTCGGCTATGTTCCTTGTCATGACTTTATTTTATTGCATACTGTTTTATTGTTAGTCAATGCTATGTTGTGTATTGTATTACTGGAATCATGGTGATACAGTCAACAATTCAAAACTTGTTTGTGCTTTTATCTCGTGATGGAAAAAATGTACTTTACGTTCAAAATTTGAAAATTTGAATTTTAAAGTTTTCGCGGTTAAGGAAGCTTTAACCACTGGGTTGGAGCTTCCTAGTCATATTACTTGATATCAGCTGATAGCAAACAAAGGTTACCAGGGAAACCGTAAACGTCTAACAACTATCGTGGCCATTGGGGCGATTATTGAAATGATATCGACTGTATGTCGCCGCTTACGACAGGACATAGCCCTATCTTAACTGTGTAATATATCGCAATTCGATATTGTTTTGATTTTTAAAAGGAGCAATTCATTCATACAGTTCCGATTAGTTTTGGCGAACGGGCCCTTAACCTACGGCACTCGGCTCATGGGAATTTTTTAACTTGTCCTGGACGGACTCGTCTGTAGCGCCTCGTTCTTCGTTGTGTGTGTGATTTCGTGAAGAAGTTTCTATGGCAATTTGCTTTTATTTGTGAGCTGTTTTTTCACGGGATTTTTGAATGTTCTGTACGAATAAATTTCGAAAATCTGTAAACCAGAGCCGCTCTCCGACGCCAATGCGTTGGAGCTTCCTGCTTGTTTATGATTGTGAGTGAATCGTTTTCTTCGAAAAGCGGCCCATTCTGGAGAGATGAAAATTCCGTTTCATTGATTCATGTGAGAAAATGTAGATTAATAGAACTATTTATGCTAAAAGGAAGTATGCGAAATGGAGTAAATCGGAAGAAACTATCATTCACGCAAATCCCTAGTTCCTTTTGATTTAATTCATTTTCACAAAATTCATTTTCATTTATTTAGCATATGCACGTCCAGTTCAAATTTTTCTTTAAAAAAGATTAATTTAAGAATTCGACAAAAATTGATTAAGCTACCAAAATTGCTCGCAAAATAGGTAAATTGCTCATTTCTCCTGGGGAGGGGTGGGGTAGACTTTCCCTGTCTCTGTAGATGGTACCCCATTCTATGTTGGCCGTGCTAAGGAAAAACATCGTATGAGCGGTATGTTGTCATATTTACTTCAATCAAAACCGAATTCACCGGAAAAACGGTGAATATTTTTCTTCCAATTTTTGAAAGAATTTCGTTCACAATTTAATCTAAAATATCTAAAAATGTCAAAGTAAAATATGAATAATTTCCTAAAAATTACTGATTCATCATGGAAAATTCGACAACATTTGAATGAAGTTTGATACGGCGCGGCGCTCTTCCTCGGTACGTCGTAAGGTCTCGGTACACGATCAAATTCCCGAACCAATCACCATTCAAGTGTCGGGATTCATCAGTCCCAAAATCGTCACTCCGCTTTATTTCCAGATGATAACTTATTAGCGGAAAATGTTTCATGCGGCAAGTAATGACAAATGGGGACACTCAATTTCGATCAGAGAGGATTGTTGGACGGTGACCAACGGTCATCAAATGAGCTATGATCGGAATTTGATCGTGCGCCCAGGCCTCTTGGCGACAGGTGGAAGCTTTTACTTTCGGGGATTCAACAGTTCCTTATGGACAATTATAAGAGAGCAACAGTCATCACCCTAATTTCGGCTGTTGACCTACCTACATGGTCGATGATGAGCTTCGGGTGACGTCATGAGCCAAACAACTTTCCCAAACGTCGGCCATCTTCGGCTTGTTTGCAAAACGAAACTGCCAACACGTTGTTGAACAACAACCATGTAGGTAAGTCAACAGTAGAATGCTGAAGTCCCGAGAGTAAAAGCTTCCACCATGGCCAAGATACTAGTGGAGGGTCTCTTGTCTCTGGGTGTCTCACTCTGAAATTTTTGATATTCTATTTCCGGTTTTCGAGACGGTGATTACAATGGACATTGGCCGCCCGTCTCCGGTCCGGGTGTTGGACCCGTCCCTAGACCGGTTCCTCCACCGGTCCCGGCCCCCGTCCCCGCCCCAGGGATCGGCTACCAGAACTACCCTTACCCGGGCCCACTGGTCGTTCGGCCACCCATTCAACAGGACCTCCTCCTGAAGACGCTCCTGGTCCCGCTGACGGGGGCCGCCCTCCTTGGAGTCGCCGCTTTCCTTGTGAGCAATCCGGTGCTCTTCAAGTTGGGCGTCGTCGCCGGCAGGAGACGCAGAAGGCGCAACGTTCCTCTCCGTCCGCAACACCCACAGGCGCAGGCGCCCGCCACCACCTTCGACGATTTCCTCACGTTGCAAAAGTTTATGAGCCAGGTAAGGCATGTCCAAAACGAAATCACTACGGACATCTACAGGCCAATGATTGAAATGGACCACTAGACAAGGCACGAATTTCAGCATTCTGATACACGTTTCATAACCATAATTTCACGTAGAACACGATGCGCACAACGAAAATTACTAAAATCAACTCCTGACGAAGATATTTAATGATTCTTGATGCGAGAATTTAAACCACTCGCTCATGAAAACTCAATGCTCTACGTGATTCACATCGCGCGCTAAATGTTTATCATGACAGTCTCTGCGATGTAAAAATCTACAACTTCAATCTTGACACTTTGGCTCAGCTATAGCAAATTACCAATAGTTTGAACAACACATGGTGGAAAATGAACATTGCTCGATTGAGAAGCTTGCTGAAACCGTTGTAGTGGGCGATTTGACTCACGTAGAGCTTTGAGTTTCTTGTGAGCGGGCAGTTCAAATTCCTCGTAATCAGTGCGAAATAAAAACGTTAATATCTCCGTTAGGAATTTCTTTCAGTAATTTTCGTTTCGCGAATCGTGTTTTACGTAAAATTCTGGTTAAGAATCATGTATCAGAATCCTTTAAATCGTACCTTGTCTAGTGGTCCATTCTGTGTTTGTCGGGCGGACATAGATGACATAGGTGAACGGCGAAGGGTGATAGGTTGGCTAATGGCTACATGTCTTATTGGTGCTTTGTCGTACCTATGTCGGGTAGAATTGACGACTAGATATTGGGAACTCATGCATGAGGTGCCTTTGACTTGTCGTTACTTCTACCCGACATAGGCACGGCAAAACAGCGATAAGACATAGACAACCAATAACACTCTGCCTTTTTAAGTACCTAGGTCATCGGTATCCGCCCGACAAACACAAAATTTCAATAATATCGGGTAAACTTATTGGCAAACACCGAATAAGTTTACACACTTCTGGACTGCGACAGAAAATTGTCTGACGTCACTTTTACAAGTAGAGTGAATGAAAAATCAAGATAGCGGATCTCCTGTCACGTCTAAAAAAGCGTCATAAAATATGAGTGGAAATTTTCGGACAATAATCGAGATCCGTGCTTCAGTAGGTATAGTTGCATCATCGATACCTATTCAGGAGACTCATTAAGAGCAGACGCATTTTTCTTGATGCGGGGGGAGGGGTAATCCCTTTGACAGCTTCGTGGTCCAATCCCCTGAAGCGCTTATTGCCTTAGAAATTTTGCGTTACGCGTCATTCATATGATTTAATAATATCGAGTAGCAGTAGCTGAAACTCTGTGGCGCGTCTAACTTGAAAGGTGCAGACGGGCAGGACGAACACGTTTTAAACTGGCACGCATTACTGTGAACGTCGTGAAAATTAGTGCGCCTTCAGTTTTTAGTGCGCGCAACACAGACAACATGTCAACACAAATGGTTGCACCCTGACATTGCAATCAACTTGATAGCAATCTGGCATGACGCGCGGGCGAGGCCGAAAGCGCAATGAAAGTCAGTTCCTCTTCAGTTTTTAATGTATACTACAAGGATACCATGGCCGGATTAAGGGGATGGCCACATGGGGCGGCAGCCCATGGCGGCAAAATGTAGGGGGCGGCAAATTTTGCAATCCTTTTGAATGTATGTATCGAAGAAAAGAAGAAAAAATCGGATTCAGAAAATAAATTTCAAACGAGAAAATGCGACAAAATCTCTCATTTTCTGAGAGAAAAAGTTTATTAAACATCTAATGTTGTCGTCTTTCGGTGATGCAAAAGACGACACCTTTAATTATTCGAGTTAAGAAAGAAACCAAGCATGCAATTTGACCTCGAGCGGGAGCGGCGCAGGGAGTAATGGTGACGAGGACTGAGATGAAAAGGAAGCCTCCGGCGTGGCGTGATCGGCATGAAGCGCATAGCGCCTACAAGACTGCATGAATACTTCACGCATTGCGTCAAACACACTGCGGTCAGCAGCAGTCAGCGTGAAACGCATAGCGCCTACAAGACTTCATGAATACTTCACGCATTGCGCCAAACACAGGGCGGTCGGCGCAGCGGCAGAAGTTAAAATTATTAAAACGCATTTATGTTTGTTCTTTCATAATTTTTTCGTTCGTTTGTCATGAATGGAAGGCCTTGTCCAAACAGAGATGGGTTTACGGAACTTAACTTTCGCGTAAAGTTCCGTGAACTTTTGTTAGTGTTGACAGGGCTTTCACAAAAAATGTGCCCAACACGAGTGAACGCGTCTCATACACCCCTCCCCCACCGGCACGTTCACTTAACGAATTAGAAGGGGGCGGAAAAATACAGGCGGCCCATGGGCGGCAAGTAGGTAAATCCGGCCCTGAAGGATAACCGTCGAACAATAGGTAATGCTAATTGTAAGTTGCATTCAGACACTGTTGTGTTCTCAGTAATGCTGTGGAAAAAAAACAATGTAAGTACTTTCGGACGTCGCGAAATGAAATGAGAATTTTCAGAAAAACTTGGTAATAAGTTCTCATCAATTTTGAGGGCACTTTTAATAATTGAAATTTAATCTAAATCACGTGGATATAAAATCTTAAGGAAAAATAAGACTCATAACATTCTTAAAAGTAAATATTTCATCAGAAGAAATGCAGCACTGTCTGAATGTTTACACGTTTCGTGATCTGCAACGATTGATCTGCTATTTACACCTGTCAGACCACCTATTGTTTTTACCTATTAGGGTTTACTTTAAAAATCGATTTTTTTCGATTGCTCCCAATGGGAAAATATTGACAGTCGATTTATTTACGCCTCGTCACTGTGTACGATTACATTTAATTTAGCCACAGTCGATGAAATGGAGCTATATTAACTTTTATCTGTGTTATCATTCCAGCTCTCTCCCGAGCAAGTATCGAGGAATAAGGATATTGTATTGGCTAATTATCTCACATGCTCTGGACTTATGGCGGATTCTGCATGTCTAGAGGAATTGGCCTGTCGGGCCGCACTCATCAAACCAATGGCGCTTCAGGATCAAATAACACAAATGTGCGTCTTCATTGTACCTTCCTGAATGGCGAATGTGTTATATATTTTATTGGAGTTTAGAGACCGATTGCATTTTTAAATGCAACTTCATCTCCACAAGTTCTCAATGTCGCTTTTTTACACTTTTTCATGGGGTTGCTTTGTTAGAACTTGACCAATTGACTAGACGGATCCAAATTTTTTTATTTTTATGTTGACACCAAAAAATTAAACTTGCTAACCCAATGGTTAAAGATTGGGGGGGGGGGGCAAACAAATCCAGAAACTTTCAAGACGAAGGACTCGATTCTCAAAACATGTAGAATAGGTACTTCCGAAACTCACAGGTATTGAAAGAATAGAATCTTGGCTAAAAAATTGTTTCTTGTTCTATTAGGTCCTTAGTTAGGATCTGTAAATCCATTCGAATTAATTTGGGACTTCATATTTTCATTTCTGAGTAAAAGTAGGTAAATCTTGAATATTTGAGAGTGAGAATTGAACTTAATCTAGTTCAATATTTTGTGACCAGCTGACTACTTTTAATGCATCTAAATCATAGATTAAGGTACAGCAGCAACATTTCTGAAAGATGTCAGTCAATGTTGATCACATAGGTATAGGTAGTCATCGTTCAAATGTGACTGTGAGTACCGTCACATGGGGTAATGATTTTTGGTGTCACAAATGTTTTTGTTCGGTTTTCTGTACTAGACAGATACTTGGGAGTAACCCTGGATTCATTTTTGTTCCAGAGCTATGAGGGAAATACTGTCGAATGCTTTCATACCATCTGCAACGAAAGAAAAAGTAAAGAAGGCTCACCTCACTGGGCTCACGACACAAAGCTGCTCAAAATTTATTTGTACGAATTAGACCCAGTTTTAATGAGTGGATCATACATTGGTGAGTATAGTATTATGATGTGAGTACTTAATGCAAGTCGGTGTTGAACAAGTATCTTTCAAAGCTTCATTTTGATGGCCAAAGTGCAAAACTTTGTACCTTTATTGAGGTGTTTCCGCTCCTATTTCATTTTTTTAAAGAGGCACAAGCCAACTGTAAAGCTTGAAAACTTGTACGGAATTACATCTCACGGTCTTTCAGGAGATATACGGAATTTCAGAAAATATTTCTGAGAAATTCTCCATCACCTATGACTATCTCAAATAACTCTATCTGAATCTCACGTAATTTTAATGATCAAGTGTACCATTTTTTCAATGAAAAGAATAAAGTTTCCAAAAACATGTAAATAAATAAAAGTAACAGTAAGTTGTTTAAACATAAATAGTTATTTATTTTTTTGTGTTTTACAATTTTTATTTATTTTTTTGATATGCATTTTTAAATATCTTCCAAATTTTCTTACAATTTATTTACTTTTTTTTACATTTTTTCTTTTTATTAACGAAAAAAATAAATAAATAAATACCTACCTAATAAATACAAATTTAGAGAAGACATTGATTAATGACGGGGAAAAAAGAATACAAAGACAAGAAAAATATACTTCTAAAAGACAAAATTTTGTGTATGTGCACATTTCCATCACTTAAAGAGAAAACTTTCAGCATAATGCATTTTTGAAGTTGAACAACATACAATTTTAAAACTCCAATTGTCTATGATACTAAAGCAATGAAATTTCTTCAATTTTCTTTGCCCAGAAAAACTGAGTTTACCAAAAAACAAATTTAAAGTCGATTAAATAGATACACCAAAAGAGTGACAGAACCTGTAAGGTTAAAACAAACAGATTAATTTTGTGCAATATGACATTATAGTTTATCAAGACGATAAATTAATAAATAAAAAAAAAAAAAAAAAAAAAACACAATGAAGAATGAATGAACAGTATAAACGAAATTCAATGTATTGGTTTTGAGATGGAATCAATCTAAAGAAGAATGACTTCATAAAGATGAAATAATATTGAAAGGTCAGATAATTTTTATCAGGGAAATTTGCATAAAAGATGAGCATATCTGCTACTTAAATTGATTGAATTTGGATGGGGGATTGTAAGAAGAATCCGAAAGATCTACGAAAAAAAAAGAAGAAAAAATCAAACTTGAATGTGAGGAATAGAAAAGTATCAAAATTGAAAAAAGCTGTGATACCGAAAAAAGAAAAAAATTAAAATAAATGAATAGGTACAGTAAAAAAATTATGAAGATATAAATGTCTATATACTATTTTAAGGCAACTATTGTCAGATTCAATAAATTGAGTCAGATCAAAATCAAAGCTAGCTACACCGCAAAAATAATTCCAGTTTTAGTCATACAGGTGCTGGCAATAAAAAACAGGCGGAAATGCCATCTTTTAAAGCCATCTCGCGACGAGTAGGGTCTGATTGGGTACTTGTTGCGACCTATCAAAGTCAAAAACCTCCAGCTGGAGAGGATATAACGTTCAATTTTGGCCCCAGATTTCAAGACAGTAGATGGAGAATTAAGAGGATTATTCCTTATATCTTCCAATATGACTCTCACAAATATCAAAGGTGACAATATGAACCTCAGAGAAAATTGAACAGGAGCCTTGTTAATTTTTTTCCAGGTTTATTCAAGATATGTAGGACATTGCTAATAAAGAATTTGCCTCATTTTATCAAATCGATTTTGACAAGAATGAAGCATCTTCGCAAAACACCAGAGCGGTGTGACATTTCACCAATCCAAACAAAGATTTTGCAATTTAGAAGGTTTAACAGAGCACCTCACAAATGATCATTTTAGCAGTGGTTAAGCTAAAAGCTTTGATTTGATTTCAACAGAGAGTTTGATTATTACGCTATGAACTGGTTTAAAGCAGCATTTAACAAAATTAAAATACTTAGTTAAACGAGTGTAAATTGTCTATTGTTTGTTAACATGGTTGAGGTAAAAAAGAAATGTATTGATTGAACAGTAAAAAATGCAGGAATTTGTGATAAGAATGAGGTTGGAGTTAGTTAAAAAATAAAGCCAAGCAACAGAAGAATACAAAATGGATTGAACTTGAGGTTAAAAAAGTCCACAATCACCAGTGTTGAAACTTTCAAAACAGTTAGGACGATAAATAACGATTTAGTCTGCAATTTTGTTTTAGTATTCATTTGTTGGATTCAGAGACGATGTTTGGGGGAATATTTTAATTTTTCTGATGGTATTGGTGCAACTTTACGTTTGATAATAGCTATGTCCCTTCTCTTCCGAGAAAAAATCGACTAAAATTGCTGAACTTTGATAGTAAAGTGAGTAAATTAACCGAAAAGAGTCCGCACTGTAATACGAATCATGGTGACCAGAGTCCAACAGTTCTGAAAGAGATAAAGGACTTACTTATGCTAAAAGGAGCTATGTGCAGACAGTTTGTAACAACGGTTGTTTAACATAGTTCCTTTTAGCATAACAACGTCCAAATATCTTCCCATTGCTCATAATATCTCATTTTGTAAAGCAAGCAGCTGTGCTTTTGAACAAACTAATAACATAAAATTGGTATCATGTATATAGAGAAGAAATAGTTTAACATTCAAAGAAAGAGGGAGGGGGGAGGATATCCTGACAAAAAAAAAAAAAATAATCTATGTGGTGAAAAATATACCTCAATAGTAATATGTGAAGTGGAAAAATAGTATTGAAGAGGACAACCAGGGGCAATATAAAAATAATATCATTTACATCATTAACACAGGATTAAAAACCTACCTATTGTAACAAAAAAGTGGGGTGCGTTTAAATCATGGATAATTCATCGATATGATAACCATTTAAAAGACGAAATTACTTAATGATTGAGCTGTGAATCACCTTTTCTTTGTCGAAACATCACAAGCAATCGGACCAGTGGTATTCAACAGTCTTGAGAGTTGCAAAGCTCAGTATGTTACTTGGTGTCAGGCTGACACTTTTATTTTCAAATTTGCTCAATAAGGAGCAAAACAAAAACAAAAAAATTGTGAAAAGATGTGCATGTGATACTTTGGCAAGTAAGAGATGAAATTTGTTCTTATTGAAAAGAACACAACTTTAAAATATTTATAACTGCAAAAACATTTGATAAACTATGCGTCGAATGCACTAACAAGCTAATGGCTGTACAGATTGAAAGAAAACAGGGGTAATAATTACAGATGTAAAAGATATACAATGATACATGAGTGAAACATGGATAATCAGTGTACTAGAATAGATAATAAAATATCAGCTACTTGCAATTCAACTATAAAACATGTTTGTAATGAAAAATAGAGGTCAACTTTACAAATATATCAAACATTTTTTGTTTTAAACCTGAGTAAATATATTATTAACCCATAAACAGTTACATAACATTTCGTATTATGAACTTACCCTGAGCAAAAACTAATGCTTTTATGAAGTTTAAAATACTATTAAAATTAATCCAGTTACTAAGATAAGATAATCATTGCTGCATTTAATTGTGTATACACAGTGCTACAAATTCTAAGGGGGGGAGGGAGTGGAGATTGAAACAAAAAAATTAATGAAATGTGGTAGTCTCCTAATGCAGAGACCATTGTATGTATTTGAATATGTGTGTGGATGTCAATGTGCCTTTTCGCAAAAATTGGAAAAGAAATAACACTATCTGTTCATCGATATTGATAGAGGATAATTTTCAGTTCTTGAAGATTGTCATACGACTTAATTTTAAAATGTAAAGTTCGGAAATAAAATTGATTACCTCATCATGAAATCCATAAAGTTGACCCAAAGAAAATTTACTTATCTCAACACTGACTTAATTCTAGCAATTCTCTGTGTGAAAACACAGGATTACAGACATTAAAAATATTGCTGCCAGAAACAAACTGAGGCAAAAAATAATTCACAAGAGTGCGTAGAATGAGAGCGTTTTTTCTTGAAACCCAGATCAAGCAGTTAGAAAGCAACTGTTAATTTGAGGCTGACAAATTTTCAGTCATTACTTTTACTCTACATGTTTCTCAAATTGGCATTGAGAAGAATTGCACACAAATATTGGTAGAGGAAAAAGCAAAAAGAAAAAATAATTATAAGTAGCTAAAAATCAAAACAGAAAAAAAAAATGTCAATAAAAATGATACAAACAAGAAGTTGACACTTTATCCAAAGATTCTAACTTTAAAATTCAAATCACAAAATGATTCATGACTTGTCCTTTGACAAATCACGACTCAAAAACGATACTTCCTTTACCCATAATGGTAGCCAGGAGGGGAAACATCAAGCAGAACTGATTTAAAAGAGGTTAACTTGCAAAATTGAGTCCTATCTGAAACGAAATCACAAAGCAAAACCAATTTTTATTCAGAACCAGGAATTCAGCCCAGCCATTCTTTCAATGGGGCAACTTTACTTTAAAAAAATTAATTTAGCTAACCTAGATATAACTTCAAGGGGAATTAATGAATCTGCTTTAAGATTACAACTCTATAAAAAAGAGACGGAAAAAACGATATTATAACAAAGTTTGAGTGCCAATCAAGAGGTTAAAAAACAAAAAACTACTGACAAAAAACAAAGTCTAAGAAACTAAAGGCTGAATTGTGTGCAAGATGGTGCTTATTGATGGGGAAAATCTAAATTAAGCTAAAAGATTCCATGTTTTAGTCAATTTTAAAGATGGCAAGTAAAGATATTACCCTTCAAAAGCACATGAAAGAGGAGACAAATTGAGTCAGTTACCTACCACATAGGTAATTTAAGTTATGATTGTTTCCTTCACTTTAACTGGCACATAGATAAGTTAACACAACATTGATACAATGTAGAGAAAGAGACATAAAAATACCTTCCAATCAAGGTGACAAAAGATATGATATGGCTTGGGACTTTATGGCCCAAATTGTGAAATTGGCTAAAAATGATGTCAGTGCTGAGAAAACTAAGTAAGTGTAAATGAGGTCACAATGAGGCAGAGAAAGGTCCACATTTACGCCTTACAAACTTTTAGTCTCCTTGAAATCGACATGCAAGCTCTGACTGATTTTTCCAGTTAAGCCACATTTTCCTGAATAAAAAAATCTGCGGCTTGAAGCTCGGCAAATTCTGCAAATTGGTGCCTTGCAGCAGCATTTGAGAGACAACTTTACTTGAAAATACCGGCAAGGTGGGCATGGTTTGTGGCATGGCATTTCAAGCACAGATTCTGGGAAAATGTACCTTAAAAGATATTTATTCAAACCTCATGAACTGTGCTAACTGTGCTAGACCACAAAAGCTCAAGAATTAACTGTGTCTGTTGCACATAGGAGATACAGCTAAGAGACTTTCTGTGGGTAAAATCAAATGAAAATGACGATGGACTCATAAAACAAGTCTAGAATCCATTCTTTAGAGGGCATTATGTGCGGTTTGTGACATGCTTTGTCAAACTTCCCTCATCTGTGGGCAGTTTTTCTTAGTCCCATGTGACCAAGTTTGCCTGGAAAAAGACTGAAGAAAAACTAACTCCAAAAACAAACAATCTTGCAGACTTTTCTTGCGCATGATTTCAATCGCACTAAGGAGTAAAGTCAGACTTTTTTGTGTACCCACTGTGATTTTCATGTGATTTTACTTAAAACAGTCACTTGGCTGTATCTCTTGTGTGCAAAAGACCCATTAACTAGGGAGAACATGAATAGACAAGGAACACACGTTCCGATTAAGTAAACTGAAAATATAGAAATTATAATAAGAGTAAAAATAAAGGCATAGGAGCAACAGGAGTAATTGATTCGGTTGAGACCCGAAAGTGAATACAATTGACACCATTTAGACAGACCTTTCTGTGAACGATTTAGTGAAATATAAATTGGCAGTTAAGAATTAAATTAAATTAAATAATATTTTCTGTACAGACTATAACAAATAATTAAATAAAAACAAAACTGCTTCTGTTGAGGTAATTGGATTGCTGCCTCAAGGCCCTGAGGGTGTGTAATGAAAAAGAAATGAGGTAATAAAAAAGAAAAGAAGAAAAAGAACATACAAAGTGATTATAATCGTTAGCTGAGGTATTTGTATGAGGTATTTATGAAACATTAACTAAAACCCTGAGACAAGATTCAATAAATATTGATCTTGAATTTAAAGTACTTAAAAGCAAAGATGCGGAAACTAAAACCGGCATTCTGAGGTAATAAAAGTATTGCTGAGGTAATTACTGATTTGACCCGTCACTAAATTAATCCAAAACCAATCTAAAAGTCAAGGCTTTGATCGGCTTTAGTGTTGAACAATTGAGAAGTTGCATTTTGTGAGGTAAGTGTTGAACAAATTCTAAAAGAAAACGTGGAAAACCTGCTGTAGAACTGTATAACAAGAGAATTACAAAAATCTAAGAGCATAAAATTGAAAAATGAGCAGTAACAGAGGAGAACAGAGATAAAAATTCCTATTAACTTGTGTGTAAAATGATAAAAAAATGAAAAGAAGACAAAATACATATTGAATTGATGAAAGGTATTATTGAGGAGAGAGATGAGTGTCATTCTTGAAGTGACAGCATCAGTCTTGAAGAGTGATGGGTCTCTAAGTTTAATATGTAAAAATTAAAACTAGCTTTCAGAACTGCATTGTATATCAAAGTTTTACCGACTTTAGACATGCTTTCCTTTATTTCAAAAAATTTTACTTGACTCCTAATCCATGATGCTCTTTGAATGTGTACCCTACAAATAAAAGTGAAGGTATAACAAACTTTAAACATATTTCACTGCCAAGACCAAAGAGCTGGCCTTGCTTTGAAACTATTCGACAAGGAGTAGATCAAAAAGTTTAATAAAAAATGTTTACAGAAACTCCGACAGCATTTATCAGCTTAAATCCTAAGTAAGTAAGAAACTGGTCTGACTTAAAACTTTAACCTAAATTAAGGATATGAAGGTCTTGAAGACACAAGCTGGATTTCAAAGCTTTTAATTTCCTTAATTCACTTCTGGGATGAAGGAGTCTTCTGATGCTCTGAAAGTTTAAATAGAATGATTTCCATAGATATAATTACTCTGCAATGTGGTATAATATGACAGAGATGAAGGTATTGAAATTGTTATGAAGGCAGCTTTCATAAATTTAAATCTGAGTAAATTGTAAGATAGACCTTGAAATCTTAGTTCAAGAAGATGTTACATTAATAAAGACTTACAAATACGCTATGGAAAAAATTCTCTAACACATATTTTTTATGAGATTAGAGCGTGCGACACCATAAATTTTAGGATCTATCCCTCTCAAAACTCCTGTACACATTAAAAACGTAAAAACAACTGAGACAAGTAAAATATTCTATGCTTGATTAATTGATAAGATATGTTTCCAGAAAATTCAGACACATCTGATAAAAACTGATATGATACTAGCTGATACAAGATTACGATAGACTAGTATAAAAAAATTTAAATTTAAAAACACTGTCCGAATAAGAATCAGTTCTACAAGAAGTCTTGATCAAGCAACATCTTTATAGCTGTTCTAGTCACTGAATGAAATTTCCATGATTAGAATGAAAGAAAAACCACAAAAAACTTTAAAACCTATCTGAAATAAGGGGGAAAATTGAAAATATTGACACTTTCCCGGCCATGTGTAACATCCCATTATAACTAAATTCTGCTGGTCCAGCAGTAGAAAATTTTTTGAGAAGACATTCTTTTAAGTGCAAACCAAACACACATCAAATACAGTTAAAAACATCAAATAGTGAACCCATGAAATTTTAAAAAAAAAATGTTATTAAACAATAGTAGAGATTTTGATACTTTTTCCTAATAAAAAATTCAATCTTAGATCTAAAGTAAATTTGAAAATTTAGTCTAATGTTCTTTTGGAAGATATTCAAATGATCAATGGGAAAATTACACTGGTCTTCGGTGAATAAGCCAGAGCATTGATGAAAAGTTAAAAGCAGGTGTGGATACCTTCACTCTTCCTTAACTTAGAACTGCCCCTCAAGAGGCTTCTACCCGATACTTATTCACTAATTAAATACAATCATTATAAGAATACAAAGTTTGATAAAGATAAGATAAGATCAAAATTTAAATGCCTCATTTCAGACAGCAGAACCAAAATCAGGATGTCTTGCACACATATTTGACACAGTTCATCATAAATTTACATTACAACGCCAGATTTGGAATTGGAAAGGCTTGATAAGATGGTTCTGACTGTTGATGAGCTTGAGAAGCTTCGAAACATGGCTTTAAATTACGATTGTATTTTATCTTCTTGCATCACAATTTAAAATCAATAACGCCTGTTCAATCATGAGAACCTTTCAATCCTCATGATTTCAACATAACAATGCTGTTAAGATGAAATTAAACAAACAATAAAAAGTAACAATGAGCAAGAAAATTGTTCAGCGGAGAAAGTAAAAAAAATAAAAAAAAGTTGTCTTGGACTCAGATTGACGTAAGAGTCACACGGTTGCATTTTGAGGGCTTCCAACTAAGGAACACATTTTATTTTGCAAATTATAAATATCCTTGCTGGGTTTGGGAGATCCTCAACTTTGGAAGCTGAGAGAGTCATTATTAGACAAACCCTTCTTGCCATCAGAGGTGCAAATGATGACTTTTAAAAATTCAGAAGTTTCTAGTGATTGAACAAATTGCTAAGACCACTGACTGGATACTAGTTTACATTCAAAAACATTTTAGCGAGAACTAACATGGTTTTCTTTCCACAGATACTCATTGTTGTTGGTTTTGAAAACCAAGAAAAAAAAGATCATAAAAATTAAATAATACCGAAACTTAAACGAATTAAATTTAATGGACTTAAGGCTCTTTAAATACCAAAACCAATTGAAACTAAGAACTGAAAGATGCCAAAGTAAATCTTGCATCATCACCGTGATATTTCTATCCTTAAGAGAAGGGTCGCTTCTACCCAAGTTATTTTACACGAAAATTTAATGCAAAGAGTTAGATTATCAGCAGAAATCATGATAGTTAACCGTTCCTATCTTTCTTTCTTAATTTCCTTTTAATTTTTTTATATTTTGTTTGGTTTGTATCCTTTTCTTAAAATTACAATAAGGAAAAATGAATTTTCTAAAGATAAATAAGATAGAGCGATAAAAATAAATGATTAGGAGTATTGACTAGAGAAACTTTTGAACTCCTTTCAAAGATGCAATTCTTAGGAATGTCACGATATACTAACCCTAAACAGAGAAGAAAGAAAATGAGTAGAGGAGGATGGTGCTTTCCTCGGGACCAATAGTGTGCATGGTAACAAACGAATTCCAAATCAACGATTACCATGCAACAACTGAGAGTTTTCAAGAGAATTTTGGAATTTTAGCTTCTTTTTTTTCAGTGAGCTTTTCGAGGAGAGATGTGAAGACTCTCAAAATGCAAAAGAGCAAATGATAAAAGAAAACATACAACATTATATGCTGGACCCGAAAAATTTTCCTCACAAATGATCACATATTTTGATTTCACGATAATTTTGAAAGCGGGTCAAAAAAAATTTAGAGCAGTATAAATATAAAATCACAGACAACTCTTTTGAGACTAAAAATGATTCCCCATTGTGAAATAAATCGGAAATTTTTCATGCGATAAACCTTTTAGGACCGCCAAGATTTGCCTTGTTGTTCCCTAAAATAAGCTAAAGAAATTGAGGTGAGGGGGAGAATTTAGATAAAGATAAACATTTTCCTTTTTATAACTCTTTGATGATACTTTTCTTTTCCCTTCCTTCATTTGGGCAAAAGATACTTGCTCATTTTTGATGAAGGAAAAATAGTACTAAATATACGACTAGAATTTTGAAAAAAGCTTGCCTGAATAAACGATTGAAAGGAGAGTTTGGACTGACGAACGTTACTGATGAATATGGAAAACGACCAACAAGAGATTTGACTAGATGTAGAAAAGGCAGCTAGATTCTAATTTAAAACTTTTGATTTTTTGCCTCTCAAATATGTGTTTCAACAGTGTTAAAACCGATGGTTATGAGTTGCACATACACAATACCTTGTCAAATAGAACTATAAGCATGTTATTGGTAGCAAATTTCAAAACAGTCCAGCTTTAATATTACTGAAGGAGAGCTCATTTATCAAAACGCAAGAACTTTTTTTTGAAGTAAGTTATCTTGTTTTTGGATTTAGGTTTCTTGCATATGTAAAACTCATGTTCGGTGGTTTTTAGGAGAAATTGTCTTGGTATTATTTTGATTAGAAATGCCTGTGTGGTGAAAATTAAATTGCCTAAAATTCCTCCTTTGAAGAGGAAGAGTAGCAAACATAAATGCCAGTTTAAAATAAAATGTTGAAAATCAACTGCAAGATTTGGAGAAAAAGTGATAATACGTAGAACGAAAACCTCATGGTAGAAAAATGAATATTCCCTGGATTTTCCATTATTTAACATTGAGGAGCACACTGCGACAAGGTGGCTTATGCTTTACTCATATGAAAGTAGAAAAAGAACAGTCTAAAAATTTTATCCACGGAAAGCAATTTTATAAACTTGCTCTGGAAGTGTTGCGCAAAACCTAATATCCAACTGTTGCTGAGCAAGATCTGAATGGAAGTCCTCAAAAGACAACATCGTGTGATTGTAACGAAGTTGAACTACGCTACGCCAAGTATAAAATTATGTACATTAATTATAATACATATATAGATTATAAAAACAACATTAAAAGTTATAAGATGAAGACTGATACTCTCAGTGGGGTGTGGTTTAGATACAAAAAAAAAATATGCTACCTCCGGCAATCGGAATCATTAAAAGACAACGTTGATCCCGAATTGGCTTTGTATGTTAAAGTGTATCTACGAATATTACGCCAGATTGAAAGCAAGAATCCCCTTCAGAGCTCAAATTTGACACAGAATCAAAATAATTCGGACTGAAATTGATAGACCCTTGAGAAAAAAACCTTGATTTCAAAAAGAATAACATCTGCAACGCACACACTTTGCCTTGTCAACTAATCAAAACACACACCACTGGGGAGATTTTTTTTTAAAGGTGAAGAGATTTATTTTTGTTTTTTGAAGACTTGATTGCAAGATAGCAAAACAGAGAAAATTGTTTGTACTAGTTAGTCCTAATCTATTTTTCAAATTTTTCTGATGGATAAGACGACAAATCATAAAAATAACACTTACTTTAGAAGAATTAAAATGTTTTTAAAACATTTAAAAATAAAATTAAAACATGAGATCCCATTTTCAGACTAAATACCCTTTCCAGTATACTTGAAAGGCATGCTTCATAAATTTTGTCCACACAGAACCGTTAATATTCCATAATTTTCACATTTTGAGATTAGCAGTGGGGTGAAGAACAAGCTGACAGTGTCACCGAATTCACCCTATTAAGTAGCTGAGCAACAAATAATTCAATGTTTTAGAGATAATTATTAAAAAAGAAAAACTATCGAGTTTTTCAGTTCTTATGTGGTGTTCTTATTTTTATTCTCTTGCTTTTTCTATCATCTTGCAGATAACTGTGACAGCTGGAGTAATCATTGGATGATGATTTGCTTTTACAAATTCAGGCAGAAAAGAGATGAGAAAACTACACACAGTTAAACACCCAGGAGTTCCAAAGTTGGCTAGTAAGGTTGTTTCTTTGGTCAATCTCATAAGTTCTGCAAAACCAAAGAAACTTCACTTCCTGGTTGATCAGATAATGTGCCAACCAGATTCATCTTCCAGGAGCTATTATCAGACAATAATTTGATATAGACAGAAGAAGAAGAACTTCTTACTACCTATCACAGACACTGTAGATCGTAACACACAATAAATTTGATTCTGTGGTACATGGTTAGTAGTAAGAATTTAATATTGATGAGAATTACATGGTTAAAACTCACTGCAATATAGCAAGTTGCAGTTAAAAAAATTGCCAAAACTCTGACACAAGCTTAAGAGAGGAGTCATCAATTCTGCTATGTTACCGAAGAGCGCAATAGTGCTTAAATTTTTGAAATCGAGTTTCCTTCAAGATGTTTCTAGTCTAATTTAGATAACCACTATTTCAGTCTAAACGAAAAAATGTGTCTTATTTGTAAAAAAAAAAGAAGAAGAGACCTATGAGAAAGGACTAAGTATGCAACAATTGACTTTGTTTCACACTAAACAACAGTAAGTGACATACTTTTGTCAGAGAGCTGTGCTTATTGAGAAAAATCGTTTAAAATTTGTTTGTTATGTGTCCAAAACGCAGCCACAAAATCATGCAGAAAATAGCTCTTACGGCTGTCTTGCCTAAAATGAAAAAGGCCCATTTCATGTAGTTGAAAATGAAATTCGTCGATTATTAATCATTCAGACGTTTTCCAGGAGTATTTTGGTTGATTAGAAGCAATTTATAAAAGAAGGGAGGCTTCTTTCGAAAATATTTTCTCAAAACATCATTTTTGCACTGACTCTTCGGTAACTCAGCAGAGTTAACAGTTGACAAGACTCGACAAAAAGATAAACAGGCAACTGGCAAGTAGAGTAATTGGGAAGAAGCATTTTTGAGTGTCTGATGAATTACTGTCACGATGAGCGCTAATTTGAGCCAGCCTTACTGCTACTCAAAATTGACATAAGGTTCCATTTTCGCCTGCTTCAACAATTTTTTTGCTGCTGGTTGCTGTACGGCATATTTTCGAATAAGACTGAGGTTGCTTGTAAGTCTGGAATACCTGACTGTGAGAGAGAAGATGTTTTAAGAAGTCTTTTCAACATTCCTGAGGTGCCACGGTGTTGAAGGCTTTTGTGGGTGGTCAAACTATTTTTTGTCCGGTAGCGACGATGACAGAATTCGCAAACGTAGAGCGTGTCCGAACGTTCATGCTTATCTTGGAAGTGGCGTTTCAACGAGTAGTAACAGCTGAATGTTCGGCGGCAGTAAGGGCAGTCTTGCGGCTCATTTATGCCTCCGCTCATTGGAGGTGGCATAATCAAACCTTTTCAGGGAAAGAGAACAAATAAACAGTTAATTACGGCTTATCTAACCCAGTAAAACCACTGATTCAATTTTTAGCACACTATTAGTTTGCTTTGGAAACTGATAGTTACTTAGCATTACTAAAACATGCGGTTTTCAAAGAACTTGACTCTGTGATCTCTGAGGAAAACAGCGGATAAAGCAGCCAATTGCATTGTAGTGTATTATGAATTTCTCCGCATTGATCAAATTGACTGTGCCGAAAAAATTACGAAACACTGAAAATCCCGAAAAAAACTCAACCTCAAATACTGATTCTATCTTGATGGAGAACTTCTCACTTAAAAGGTTTTTGAAAATTTTAACAGAGAAGGAAAATAAAATGAAAGATATGTTCATCATTTTAATTATTGAGATCATTTTTCAAATTAATTGCGCCTTGATGTAGTCATTTTTTGTTGCTTTGGAAGATTGTTCCGGAGTAGAAAAGAAAAAAATGGTCTGAAGTGAGAATCAAATGAGTAGTGCTCTTGCATACGGCAAGGATTTGCAATTTAACTTTTGTTTCTTTCTAAAATTTTGCAAGAAACACGATGGTGCCACGGTTAAATCGCAAGTCCCTAATGTATGCAAGAGCTCCATTTGTTAAGCAGGTACTTCTGATTTGAAAACAGTTGAAACATTTCAACATGAAAGTTCATTTTTGTAAACCAATTCTTGAAAAGAGAAAAAAGAGGGATGCAACAGATTGTAAAAAAATTAATAAATAAAAAAAAAATTAAAGCTACCAGGTACTCCTCATACAACGGTGGAAACTCATACTGGAGAGTTTACACTTGCCAGAGGAACAATGGAGAGGAACTATTAGGGCATCACTATGGAATTTTTAATGACGGTATTCCAGAGAATGAGGGTTAAAGATTTTTGCAGTGTTCAAGGGGAGAAAAATATGATTTAGAAAGTATCCCTACTTGGATACATCATACTAAAATATATTGAGGTGAATCTACTGATACTGAAAGTTTTTAATATGATGTTCTCAACAATCTCCTCAATTAGGTCAATTAGGATGACCTAAAATAATTAAAATTTCTATGCGCCTATCGCAGGAAAGATGGGTCTAAACAGTGCACTTTTTGGCAATGTAACACGTGCTATCATAAGCTGCGTGTTCGTCATTTGTCTTATCTTGCTGGTTGGCATGAGATGAAAAAAAAAAAAAGCTCACTCCTATATTTGAGAAAGTGTGTAAAACTGCCGAGAAACACACTTTTTCGACCTGATACCTGGAGAATGGCACATAGAAAGTTCGATCTTAAAACTTCACCTTACTCAGGAGATTGTAGAAAACACCATAAGATCTCGAAATTTAGTCAATGTTTAATTTCTTGGTATTGCGTGCTTAGTCTTCTCACAAGATTTTGAATTTTTCAAAAATTACCACTCCACTTGCTTGAATTTAGAATAAATTGATTTATCAAAACATGCGATTTGCCTATAGAGAGGATTCAACACTAGCAGGATCTATGTTTTGTGGCTATCGATGATGTTGATGCACAAAGATGGGGGGAAAAAAGGCTACGAGTATTTGAGCGTGAAACACAATCATGCACTAATAAGAATTCACCTACATGACACTGACACAATAGAACACATAAGACGTGCATTCAACAAAGGAACAATGTGTGGAATAAATACTAGGTTGAGAGCAAACCAACAACTGGATTATTACGATGATCATAGCAGATTCAGAACCCTTGTGGGTAATATAAATTTCAGAAAGAATTGAAGAAAAATTGGTGGAGAAAAATTTAAAAAAAAACATGGGCAACAACTCTGACCAGCAGAACGGACAGCTTACTTATTTTTTGCTGCCTTAATAAATCAGCATAGCTTATATTGCTCTACAATTTCTGAGATGGCATTAAACCGATTACCTACTTTTGAGATTGTTCAACCCACTTCATTACCTGTGCGGTATTTTCGTTTGTAAAACTTGACCTATGGATCTACGTTTTCCCTGTGAATTTTTCCCCAGTGGCTCTGTAATCTTTAAAATGTTTTTATGATTAATAAGTAATGAAGATTTCTCTCCTCTTTGTCATTAATAATTTGTAATGTATGATTGTGAAATCTGGGTTATACGTGATTTACACACTTGTAACTAACACAAGTTCAACTTTTTCTCTGCCATAAAAGCTTTAAGAGAAATTTTCTTTTTGACATACTTTTCCCTATACTATTATGGATTTCAAAATAAAGTTAGCTAACGCTAAGTTATCTTTAAAACATTTACAAAATGCTTCATATTGAAAAGCCTTTTCAACATCAACATTCTCTTTTATGGACGTATATTCACGGATATATTGATAAATGTAAGTTTGAAATTAGTGTGTCCCAAGGTTGACGTCAGTGAACGGAAATATTTTCTGAATTCAAAATTCACTGTAGTTAAGGTGGAAAATTTAGAGGGAGAATTGAAATTAGACGTAAAAAAATTTGTACCTCCTAGAAAGAGCTAAATTTGGTATGATGATGAGAGGGAGGAGAAATGACCATTGATGGACGAGACTTGTGATACGTATAAATATGCGTCATCAGGGAATTGCGAGAGCAGTAAACTCGTTCACAAATGGCACATCGGTATTCTTCTTGCCTGGATGCATGTTTGTCTGCTACATGCCGTTTCAGGCTTGCTTTCGAACACAAAACTTTGCCACAAGCCAAACAAGTGAAAACTTTCTTAAGGCCTGTAACATGAAAATAAACATTTTTTCCTTGTGAGTTCAATGTTTCTAATCACCTTGCTGGAAATGAAACAAGCACATACACATGTAGAGGCAGATTAAAAATGAAAAATTAATGCAGTATAAATTATCATGCCAAAACGAAATAGCATCCTGTGCATTATCCAAAAATAATTGGAGAGAACCCTTTGCTTGTTGGAAAGTTTATAATAGGAAGTAAAATTTGATAAAAATCAAAAATAATTTTTAATTTTTCTTCGAATACTTATTTTTTTATTTTCTTGCTTACGTTGTCAACTCATCATTTTAATGTTCCTGTCTGTAGATACTAAAGAGAAAAACTTATTAAATGATGGCACTCTAGAAGGAATGGGTAAAATCTATGGAACTACCTTCTTTCTAGCCCAATGTTTAGTAATCCAGTTGTCGCATTAAAAGATTAAAAATCTTAGAGCGCTATTTTAATCATATCTGGGTTAACTCCAGGCTAAAAGTGCACAAAATGTGAACTGAATAAAAAAACAAAAACAGACTAAGATAGTTATGGTGCAGCACAATGCTTTAAACTGATAAGACATGTTGTGCCACAACTATTTTGGTGGCCTTTCTTCATTTTTCGTTTAGTTAAGATTTTTTTTATGTTTTGAGCTTGGAAATGACCTAGAGATAGTTGAAACAGCTATCGAAAATGTCTGACTTTTTAAAAATGACAACCTGCTTATAGCTAATCATAAAATCACACAAACATATAACCCATCTAAGCAGGCCTATCTGCCTGAGCTGAACACCCCCCCCCCTCCCTCAATCTAGTGCAGAGCTTAAATTTTAGATTCTAATTTAAATTTTTGGCCTTGCTTTCTCCTCAAAACAGTGTGGACCCAACACTATTTCACCACCTTGCAACCTGCTTACTAAATATTGAGAGAGGAAGTGCAATTGATAACAATATCTCCATTTCAGTTAATCATTTAACAGCAAAAATAAAATTCGTTTTTTGATTTATTAGAAAAAATAAAAAATACATGAATTAATGGATGAAGAAAATAAAACAAAAGGCTAAATAAACATTATTAAATGTGAAAAACAATAAATAAGAACAGCCAGACGTTAACCTCGAAAAAACTCGTATTTTCGTTTGAAGTATGAAAAATGCAACTGCTAAAAAAATGGTTAGCTTTTAAAAAAAGTTATGGATCTTTAAAATTATAACCAAATTATGAGTTGGTCTTAAATTTGGTGCTTCCCAATTTTTAGGAATGATTCCTTCTTCTTCTTCTTCTTCTCTTTTTTCTTTTTAAAATAAATTTCTTTGGGAGGAGTAAAATTACAGTATTTCTATCTTCCATTTACCATGCATACAATTTCAATGGGCAAACTTGTATATTCCGAGTCTTTTATCAAACTCTCAATTGTTTCATTTTTAAACTTGAACTAAGCAAGATATTACCAATTAAAACTTAACATAAACAAAACAAAAAAATTCAGAAGATTGAAGTTGTTTAACTGAGAATGCTCGTAAGAAAATGATGAGAGGAAGTACAATTCACAGTCAGATTAAAAAAAAAAAAATTATGTATGCCATGCATCATGCTGTTACAAAAGCAGAAAAAGGAACTATGACTTAGCAAAAAGAAAGAAAGAAAAAACAGTTTGCTGATAAATAGATATCATGATGAGGATAACATATAATTAAAATAAAAAGCGTATTTACTGGACAGAAAGAAACTTGCACTTATTATAATTTATTCTTCAATTATGGTGACATTTTGCAATGAAGGAATACTGTTCTGGCTCATTTTAGAAACGATGTAATTGCCATTGGCTTCCTTTTGCAGATAAGAGCTTTTAAGAATAAGCTAGAGATTGTAGTTCCTCGTTGCAAAATAAAGTCCAATTTGGATTACAGAGACACATTTTTATGGCTATAAAAATGATGGATTACACTGATAGAGCAACATCAATGGAATAATCAGATGATTAATGCCCCTTCAAGTAGAAATAAAAAGATGAGATTCTTTCAGACTCACAGAAACAATCTATTTATTAATTAACTGGTTTACCAAGGGTGTAATAAAATTACCTTTGAAATAGATTAATGGTTGAAGTAGATAACAAAGCTTGTCTCGTCAATGTCTTAGTTTTGACTTGGACAAATTTTCTTGACCACTTGATTACCACACTATCTGTAATCCAGCTTGATTATAAACCATGCGTAAACTGACAAGGAAATCCCAATTTAATTTGAAAAACTTTTTTGACTCAGATTTTTCAA